CTTCATGAACTCTAGTTTATCCATACCAAATTTCAGATAAAAATTCAATCGGGAAGGCACTCAAATAATTTCTTGAAGTTAACTGGGCAGTTCATACATATAAACTGCCCAGTTAACTTTACAAAATTATTTGAATGCCTTCCCGATCGAATTTTGAGCTGAAATTTGGTATGGATAAACTAGACTTCATGAAGAACATGCTCACAAAATTTCATTAAAAAATTCCACCGGGAAGTGCCCGAAATGCCCTCGGCCGGACGGCGCATCCCGTCAGGCCGGCTGGACAAGAACGGCACTCTAGTCTTATATATTGTACTCTCCGTTCTTTAATTAAAGTCCTAGTTTGACTTCAAACATATTAAATAAATAAATTTACTGAAAAGTAAATTCTATTATAGAATACAATGTCTTGACACTGTTTAACACTATTTTTACACTATTTTGTATTGTCTTGATATATACTCCGTATTTGTTTACCAGAAGTATGACTTTATTTAAAGACATCCAGAAAAGAAAAGTAAGACTATAATTCAGGGACAAGGGAGTAATAATGTTTTATGACACGTCACCACTATCATACATGATTGCGAGTATTCATCATAGATATCAAGCTGCTGAGAGTTCACATGAGCCCAGCAGATAATTCGTGGGCCCACCCTCAGGTACCACACCCACCCTATACTACTAGGTCATGCCAAAGAATTGAAGGTGACCCATGCCATGCCATTTTCAATACTGTGTTATTGATCAAGGGAAGAATATATAAATTCAAAACTCGTACAACTTACCTAACTTAATTAAGAACATCACACTACGAGGGATAGATTAAGGTCAACAATTAGAGATGGGGGAATCGAAGTATAAAACATTGTTTTCTTTCAATTTTTTGGAGTGTACCGAAAAGAAAAAGAAAAAGAAGATGAAACTTATGAACCAAACCTGCATTATAGTTACCTTTCTGGTACCTACATTTCAGTTTATTATTATGAGAATATACTATGTATATAATAGCTCAGCTTTATTCATTGTTAGCTTCCATCCGCACCTCATCACTGCTATATACATTTAGGCTTGATTACCTTTCTCAGATCCCAATTGTTCGAAAACCAGAAAAATTTCCAACTCTCTCTTTGTGCTCTAAACCCTAGCTGTGGAAAATTATATTTGTGCACCTTTTATTTGTAGATCTAGCAGCATGCTATACTAGATTGATTGGCCAGGCAAGTGATGATCACTTAATTTAGTTTCATCTTCAATTCTTCAATTTCTTCTTCTCGAACGAGCTAAGATCAAGCTAGCTACATAGGTATGCATCCATTTTCTCGACCTTCGTCTTCTTTTTCCTATGGCGGGGTTTTGTTAGGAGGTCGAGGAGGAGGAGATAGGGAAGAGGTAATTATGAAGATGGTTATTGATTCTTGGACTCATGATGATGCTAGTGAAGTCGATGACACCGCGGCTGTGGCGGGTAGTTGTGGCGGGGGCGGGGTGGCGATGGAGAAGGAACATATGTTTGATAAGGTGGTGACGCCGAGCGATGTGGGGAAGCTGAACCGGCTGGTGATTCCCAAGCAGCACGCCGAGAAGTATTTTCCGCTAGACTCCTCCAACAACGAGAAAGGGCTTCTGCTCAACTTCGAGGACCGGAACGGCAAGCCATGGCGGTTCCGGTACTCTTATTGGAACAGCAGCCAAAGCTATGTGATGACGAAAGGCTGGAGCCGGTTCGTCAAGGAAAAGAAGCTCGACGCGGGTGACGTCGTTTCTTTCCTGCGCGGCGCCTCCGAGTCTGCGAAAGACCGGCTTTTCATCGACTGGAGGCGCCGCCCGGATTCCCAATACTCCTCCAACAACCTTCATCATCACCGCCACCATCATCTCGCCTCAATTGTCTCCTTCCCACACCACCTATCCCCCCTCCAACGCTCCGCCATTCATCATCAACACCACTACCCCGCTGCAGCGGGGGCAGCGGCAGCTTGGAACCCTGGTGCTTTGTTCTCCCCGCTGCAGCCGTCTTACGGGTACAGGAATTACGGATTCCGCGGGAACAGCACCACCGCCCATGATTCTGTGATATTAAACGGCGTCAGCGGTCCTAGAGGCGGTGCTGTGGTGGTGAATGGAAACCCTTGCTCGGGAATATCATCATCAGGGATTTATTTTAGGCCAATAATCACCGCCGCGAGCCAGCAAGAAATGATGCAAAAGATAGGAGGTTGTGGTGGTGGTGGGGTGGTGTTTGAGTCGGTGCCGGTGGTCCAAGGAAAGGCGGCAGCAAAGCGGCTGAGGCTGTTCGGGGTGAACATGGACTGCCCTATTTCGGACGATTCTTCCTTCGCCGCCACTTCCCCCAATTCCAACACCACATCAACAACCACAATTCCGGCCACTTCCCTTCAATTATGGCCTTGCGGAGGCAGCTACGACGGCGATGACAATCAAGAACTGCAACCTGTTGGTAATAATAAGCCCCACAAGTCGCCGTCCTCGGCCTCCATGTCCCTAGATTTGGATATCTCATCGACCTGATGATAATTATAATTGTCACATTTCCCTTATTATTACAATTAATATTATAATTATTACATTTATATACGGAGTAAATTCATGTGTAAATGGAAGCCCTTTACATTACTCCGTATTATAATTAATTTATAATTATATATTTCCACTCAATATACAGTAAAGTTTTGTTTAATTTCATCACTTCGTATTAATTATAATATGTATATTATGTCAATTTTCCATTTTTTCTTCTATGTCTTGTTGGACTGAATTTTTATTATTTATACTACATATTTGATTCATGTTACATGCATATCATCCATATATCCATTTCTTGAATTACATGCATGGCCGACGGGACTGCTATTTAAATTGTCCATTTCAATTTTGATTAATTAATAGGCATTAGGTACAAAAAAAAGTACTTGTGGTTGTGATTGTGCGCATTTTGGGGCATAAGGTTCATTTTTCATAAAATGAAGCATGTGCTTTCAATTTGAGAGTTTCCGCCTAATTCCATCAGAAAGAAGGCGATACGGATGTATAAAAAGTGACATGTCACCCTCTTTCTGACCGAGTTTAAACAGAAACCTCAAATTGGAAGCACATGTCCTACCTTGTAAAAAATTAAAGTTGCCTTTATGTGAAAATGCGCACAATCACGCGTATTTTTTTGTACTTGTCCCTAATTAAAATAAAGAAGGATGTTTTTTAGGAATACGGGAAAACCTAACATGCAGTGCAAAAATACTATGGGAATTATTCTAGGGTTTCTAGGATAGCGGTATTCAGAAGACTCCTTTCCGAATGAATTGGGTTTGTGCAGGAATGACTAAAAAGGCTATATGATATGAGTTTTTTCCCGGAATAATGCTAATTAAATAAATAATTCCCAGAATACTGCTGGGTTAAGAATAATTCCCGAATTACTGTTGGGTTAACCATGGTTAAGCAAAGCCGCCACTCCAAGTGGCGGCTCTTCATCTATCTTTACAAAAGTCGCCAGTCCGAGTGGCGGCTCTTCTATAGTAATACAAAAGCCGTCACTTCGAGTGGCGGCTCATTTATCCGTAGACATACCCCTTTCTTCCCAGACGACGAACTAATCTGCCCTCCCCCTTCCCTCTGCAGCAATCGACGAACGGCAACATCACGAAACAAGTGGTCCGATTCCGGCCAGATCTCGTCCAAATGAAGCTCAAATCAAAGGGAAAAGGCTCGTGGTGTACCCGAGGTCGTTTGTACTCCATTCCATTTTTGCATTTAAAACCCAATATCGTTCAGAATGGCACGTTTCGAATACCGTGTTTTAGTACCAAAAAACAAACTCCCGTGTTTTTGCACGTCAGGCACAAAACTCTCGTATTTTTGTCATTCCCTAGTGAATTATATGTATATAAATAAGGTAATTGCTATGGCCATAAAAAGCGAGGGCATTCTACCTATAATTCATTTTATTGATCTCAACCATTATTTCATCATTTATGTTTAAATTATTTAATTGTACTCCTTCCGTCCCCCAATTAAGTTCCTGGTTTGACTTCACACATATTAAGAAAATAAATTTTACTTTACTGTGGAGTGCACGGTTTAGCACTGTTTAAACATTGTTTGACACTGTTTGGAACTGTTTGTCACTGCTTTGATATAGATAATTTGTCAAATAAGAAAAATATTGAAGTGTGAACTTAATTTATGGACTGTCCAAAAAGTAAATTGAGAACTTAATTGGGGGACGGAGGAAGTAATATTCTAATGGATTCATATAAACAAAGTACTATCGTATGATACATATATTGAGGACATGAGGTATTAGAGAATTTGCCTATAAATAAATGTTTCGGTCGGTGAATAACCAAAAAATCGCTGCATACATCTGACTGAGGTTTGCTGCAATAGAATCTGAGGAAACAAGTTGCCGGAGAAACCGCCTCTCTTTTTACACACTATATAGTGTAAGCCTGTCTTTTTATATTGTATTTACTGCCTCTGATCCATAGCTGCGCTGGTGGTTTCAGCTTTATGCTCTGTGGCTCCATGGGCTCACCAGCAGGTATATCTACTTTTTTTTTGTACAATCTCAGGAATTCTGTCATTTGCGTCTTCCCAAAGGATCTTTTCGAGGCCTATAGGAGGTGATTGTAGAATAGTTAGTCCCCTCGGAGCTGAGTGTGCCAAGTTAGCAAGAAAATCTGCACACCTGTTGCCAGCAGGTATATCTATGACAATATATAATGCTCAATATTCTTACTGCTTAAATATTACTGTAATTTTTATATTGAGTATGAAGTTAATTAATATTCCTCTTTACGATCAGACACTTCATCTTGAAGTGTCATCATTCATATTTTTTTTCATCAGTCCGTTTTTTTCATTCGACTGTTTTTTATTATCATTTTTCATAAGGTACTCGTCCACTATTCACATGGTCAACTTAAATCATTTTTAATCTTTTACTTTATATATCAATTTTTTTTATCAATTTTATATTTTTTTTATCATGCTTTTTAACGATTTTAGTGTAGTTTCTGAATATGTAAATTTTATTTATTAAAAATAATCAGAATGTTTTTTTCAAAAAAAATAATAATCAGAATGTTAACAAAATTAAATTGTTTTATCACCCGTACTAATTAGTCTTCAATAACGAGTACTAATTAAAAAGAGTGGAGGATAATGTATCTGTTAGTGATATGACTGAGCAGATACATGCGAATGGCAGATGAATTAACAGATTTGATGTTCCGATATGATATATCTCATCATCATAATTTAGTCTTCAATTTTCTGCTTATATGATTGACCATGGAATTGTTTGTAAATGACTAGATATTCATGTGTCACAACTCACAATATTGTTCTCTTAGTATTTATATCAAATTTATACGTAGTAACATTCATGTTTAATTTTGAGACCTTAATGATTTTAATTTCTTATTCTATAAATATTACTGTGACACCACTAATTTAATTTCGATCGGCTCATTGAAAAAAGTACAGCTCTTATGATTTGGGAAAGTGGGATTAGCTTTGAATTTTTAGAAAACTGTGCAGGTCATGTCCTATTCTTCAATACGAGTATTTATCTTAGAGTAAAGCTAGATGAATTTTTTACCGCTACATTTTTTGTTACATTCATTTATGGCATGCTTAAATCAACCCTTAATAATGATTGTTTGCCCGGTAGTTTGCAGTTTGCACATTAAAATTTAGAACCGTAAAATATTTTACAAATTTAGAACCGTAAAATAGTTTACATGTAAAATAGAAATACACCGGTTGGTCATGTGTGTAATCTATTTTTGAATTACACGCAGACGCTTTACATTGTTTGTTGTCAAATAAGTTTACAGGTAAAATGTTCAGAGAATAGCTCATTCAACGTGCCAAAGAACTTTTGATTACCGTGGAGCAACTAGATCATCATCTGCAAAGTGATTAATCACTACAAAATTGTAATTTCATTTGAAGCAACTAGAAAAGGATTAATCACTAAAAAATTACTATTCTACTTAATCAAATACTAGAAATAATTCTTAGAAAGTCACTAAACATGACTTTTAAATTCAACTAAACATCAAATCTCAGAATATAATTCAAACCTAAAGATACAATTTTCGAATATAATATACTACGTATATCTATTGTAGAAGCTAACCTGTTCTTTTTTTAAGTTAACCTGTTTCTTAATTTAGATGGAGAGCAGATTTTGTTTTCTTATATACTACGTACAAGGAGAAAAGAGAATTTTTGCTTTGCAGTCATAATGGAGTCTTCAAAATCACTTGCTTTGCTGTCTTCAGAGGAGAAGAGCAATTTTTTGCCGTAATATATACTTTGTATTGCTTTGCCGTCATAGGAGTAATAGAGTAATTATACTTTAATTAGGTTTCCATATTTCTTATGTTTCCTAATGTACTCTGAACACCTCTTATTATATATATGACATCTAGGTCTACCACATTGGTAAGCCTCTCATTTATTCTCACATGGTATCGAGAGCTCTAGGTTTTTAGCCAATTACTAATTTTTTTCGGTTCGATGGCCTCTCAAAATACTTCTGCAGCTGTCACCATGCCTATCGGCACCACCACTGATTCCATTATGGTGACCGATTCTCCGAGTCCCAACGCGGTGGAAACCTCCACGGTTTTTTCCGACCAGCAGCGTGGCGCCATTGATCCACAATGAGCAGCCTTTTTCTTCGGTCCCTCACTCCGATTTTTCAGCCGCATGGATACCTCCAATATTTACATGGACTCCGACGAATCCCACCACCCACCCGTTGTCGTCCCACAATTCCGCCATACCTGAATTTAGCGTCACCGACAGTCAACGCTTCGCCGGGACCACTCTCTCTGGACATCTGGGTAGGCACTCGACCTCCTACTATAACGTTGCCCACGTTGTTTGCTACTCTTGCTCAAGGTATGGGTTTTGGTGCTTCTTCCATCACTACTATTGTCACCATCAAATTGTGTAAAGTTGAAGATTATTTACCCTGGCATACTCAGTTTGAGTCCTTTTTGGTCTCAAACGAGCTCTTGGGTATTCTTGATGGCTCCCCTTCCGGCACCACCTCTTTATTCATATGACTTGTATCAAATCCAGAATATTAATCCCGAGTACTACCACTGGCTGAAACTGGACCAAACGGTTCGTTCATGGTTGTTCGCTACATTATCTAGGCATATTCTGATGGAGGTTCATTCTCAGAAAAATTCGACTGCTATATGGCAAAAATTAGAATCCCGATTTATGGCAGCCAGTTTGGCCAGATCAATGGAACTCAAACAAATGTTAACTCATACCAAGAAAAAGCCTAACCAAACCATGGATCAATACATGGGCGAAATTTGGACCATTGCTGAAAATTTAGCATCTATTAATTCCCCTGTTGCTAATCATGATCTCCCGCACTATGCTCTTATGAGATTGAGTCCGGGTTATGAGTCACTTGTTGGACCCCTTACTCTGTTTCCTGAAGGTCTTACGTTTGACAAACTTTGCACTAAACTTGTACATCAAGAGGCTCGGCTCCAATATCAACAAAAATTGGAATCCAGCATTGGTACACCGGCCTTTACAGCATCATCGTCGCAAGGGGGTCATATGGTTGCACCTTCATCAGGGGGACAACAGCCGCATCGAGGAGGCAGAACCGGTCGGGGTCGCGGTCAACAAGGTCGAGGTCGTGGTCGCGACAGATATCAGAACTACCAGTAGCCGGGTCCGCCGCAGCAGTTCCCTAGCAACAGTTTCACGGGCAGCAGTCCTTTGGCGGGCAACATTCTTTCGGCGGGCAGGGAGCTTTTGGTGGCAATGGACAAAATTATAGGGGCTCTGGGAGAGGTCCTCATTCGCAGCATTCAACCGGAACACCGGGTACAACTCTATGTAATTCGGTTCAGTCATGGTTTTATACTCCTGCTCTATCTACTTTTTGTACTCATTATGTGTCTGGCTGTCTGCAGGATTCCCCTCGGTTGAGAATAGTTTTGGTTCTGTTCCTCCTCCTATCGCCTGTCAAATATGTCATTCTCCAGGTCATTCTGATGTTGCCTGTCCATCCCGTTTCGCTCAACCTTCCACTCCTGCTTTGGCCGTCCCTACGGGAGAATCTGCTCCAGCTGTTTATTACCCCGACTCCGGTGCTTCTGCTCATATGACTGCTAATAAAGGTATTTTAGAAAATAAATCTATTTATTCTGGACCACTAAAAGTGACGATTACAAACGGTTCTACTTTGCCAGTTATGACTATTGGTGATTTGCATTTAACTACTCTGCCTCGACCTCTTCATTTAAAATCTGTTTATCACGTTCCTCATCTCAAATATAATTTATTATCTATTCAAAAATTATGTGCCGATAATAACTGTTTTGTTATCTTTGATCAAACTTCTGTTTGTGTAAAGGACAAAATATCGGGGAAGGTGCTTCTTCAAGCTTCCAGTAATTGCGGTGTCTACCCTATCTCTTTTCCATCCTCTTCACCAATTGCTTTTAGCTCTCATATTGCTCCTGGACCGATTTGGCATCGTCGTTTGGGACATTGTGGCAGCCGTATTTTAGATAGACTTAGAAAGTCCGGAAATATTCTTAGTACGTCTAGTTTTTCTCATGATTGTATTTATTTCTTGTCGTTTAGGAAAATCACATCGGTTACCTTTTCATGAAATGTGGCATAGGTCTACTACTCCTTTATATTTAATTCATTCTGATGTTTGGCAATCTCCTGTTATTTCTCCGAATGGTTTTAAATATTATGTTCTTTTTATTGATGACTTTTCTCGTTTTACCTGGCTTTACCCAATGCGTAATAAAAGTGAGGTTGTGAGGCATTTTCAAGCTTTTAAACTAATGGTTGAAAATCTGCTTGACTCTAAAATTAAAAATTTTCTAAGTGATGGAGGGGGTGAGTTTGATAATTATGGTATGCGGAAAATTTTTCTGAAAAATGGCATATTATTTCGCAAATCATGCATGTCCCGACACCCCTGAACAAAATGGGGTTGCCGAACGTAAACATAGACATCTACTTGAATTAACCCGCACTATGCTTTTTGAGGCTAAGCTGCCGACTACTTTTTGGGTAGATGTCATGTTTACAGCTACCTATATTATTAATCGTCTCCCTACTCCCAATTTAAATGGTGCTACTCCTTTTGAAAAAATTATTTCATCATCCTCCTGACTTCTCTTTTATGCGCATATTTGGGTGTGCTCGTTTTCCAAACTTTAATGCCACCTCTTCAAATAAATTATCTCCTAGTTCCACTTTATGTGTATTTTTGGGATATGCTCCTGAATATAAAGGTTACCGGTGTCTTGATCCTATTTCTGGCAAGATTTACATCAATAGGAATGTTCGTTTTCATGAAGATTATTTTCCATATTCCGACGTAATATCTCTTTCAGAAAAACCGGTCTTGCCACAATTGTCCTCGATCAACACGGTTCATGATTTGTGTGTAATTTCCGGTTGTATTTGTACGTTTTTAATTAGTTTTGTGATTCGCTAGTTTGGAAATTACACACTTTTGGTGTAATGTTTTGTTTCTTTTAAATTGGTGTAAATTGTTTAGATTAGGATTTTTCTGAGCATAGGACATGTTGAAAGCCTCAAGGGATCAAGAAGTGGATCCCAAAAGACCAAAGAATGTGCAAAGGGACAAGATCAAAAAAGGATTTGAAAAATAGTTCATATACCCGGTTGGGTATATGCAATACCCGATCGGGTATTGATCCGATTTCAGTGTCAAAATCAAATCTGGGAAAACAAATTAAATGATCGTGGGAAAATAATATTTGAAGATCCGGTCGCATACCCGATCGGGTAAACCGACACACCCGATCGGGTATGAGTGATGTTTTTCACATTCTCGGAAGCTGCTGAGTACCCGATCGGGTACCCTAAACACCCGATCGGGTATATGATCCTGTCACCTTCATTTCCCTATAAATACACCCTTTTTCCTTCACATTAGATCATCCCTTCTTCCATATACTTAAGCTCAGTTTAGAATAGTTATTTCTTATATTTTTATAGCATGTTTAGTCTCCAAATGAGGAGCTAAACTTTCATTTCTTGGTTTTGCTCTTGAAGCTTGTTGATTATTAAATTTGTGTGTTATTTTCTTAACTTCTTCTCTTGATTATTAATTCTTCCCTTAATCTCATTCTATATTAATGTTGGAGGGTTGCTAAGTGACGATTAGTTAACGTTCCGACATTAATTATTACTAGAAACGATCAACGAACCGATGGTTAATCGTTGATGGTTTCACAAGTAACTTTGGTTTATTAATGCATGGTCGTGGTTGATAAATTTAAGAGGGATTAATTTTGTTGGTTAAACCGAAACCATTGTGTTGAGGTTATCAATCTCAATTGATTTCATCAAGGAGTTAAAGAGATTAAATGCTACTATTATATCGGTATACAGCGTTGTTCTATATTTGATTAATAGTAAGGGTTATTAATGAACGGTCGTTGTTAATAATTATTACCCTCGATGAATTGGAGATACTCCTCAATTGAGTATTCGAGATGGGATAAGTTATAGATATAACAATGATCGACTAAAATATATCAACAAGTGGAAAGTAGCAAGACCAAGTCCCTTTTATTCTTGAATTTAATCTCATATAAGTCGTTCATCTTCGTGTTTAAATTAATTATATCACTCAATCAACCCCCCCCCCTTTATTCACTAGTTTCATAAAAAGAGAATTATTCCTTTCCATGTGGATACGAACTCTACTTCACTATACTACGTATTAGTGCTAGTATCGAATTTATTTTGACGCACCGTGACAAAGAGCTCGTCAGTTCGTCTTCATGCAAGCAACCCATCATCCATTATTCCTTCTTCCCCACCTACTGCTAACTCCCTGCGCTTCCTCTTCAGACGCAGCAGCCGCCCCAGGTTGTTTCCCCTCACCAGCCAGCTTCACCACACACACCGCCCACTTCCGTCTCTCCCTACTCCAGCCCGCCAACTATCCGATCAGCCAGCACCCCAAACCAGACTACTACCTCCACACCCAGTACGCCAACAACCACAACATCACCTAACCAATCCACTACCTTGACCGATTTGCCCTCTCCTACACCGCCATCTTCTCCACCCGGTTCTTCCCCGGTAAATTGTCATCCCATGCAAACACGAGCTAAATCTGGAATTTTTAAGCCCAAAACTATTTTTAATCTTAAAGCAGATATTGCGGCATGTGATCCTTCATGTTTTTCTATAGCTAATAAGGATGCTAAATGGCGAGGTGCTATGGCTGAAGAATTAAATGCACCTATTGATAATCATACTTAGGATTTGGTTCCGTTTAATCCTCATAAAAATGTGGTTGGGTTTAAATGGATTTATAAAACTAAATTTAATTCTGACGGGTCAGTTGATCAGTATAAGGCGCGTCTGGTGGCACAAGGGTTTACTCAACAAGTTGGTGTAGATTTTTCTGAGACTTTTAGTCTTGTTGTTAAGCCCACTACTGTTCGTATAGTCTTATCTCTTGTTGTTTCTTTTCGGTGGGCTATTCGTTGGTTAGATGTTAAAAATGCCTTTTTACATGGGAATCTGACTGAAGAAGTTTATATGCGTCAGCCTCCTGGGTTCATTCATCCACAGTTTCCGCATCATGTTTGTCGTTTCAGGAAAGCTATTTATGGTCTCAAACAGGCTCCAAGAGCCTGGTTTTATCGCTGTAGTAGTTTTCTGTTGACACATGGTTTTGTATGCAGTAAGTCTGATAATTCTCTGTTCATTTATCGACATGGGTCCTTTGTTATTTATCTTCTTCTTTATGTTGATGATATTATTGTCACTGGTAATTCCCCATCCTTTATTTCCACATTTATTTCTTGTATGGGCTGCTGTTTTGCTATGAAGGACTTGGGGGATTTGCACTTTTCCTAGGTGTCCAGGCTGTTCGAGTACCTTCTGGTTTGTTCTTATCTCAGCAAAAATATGTATCTGATCTTCTCACCAGGTTTCATCTTCACACTCTCAAGCCCATTCGTACCCCTCTTCCTACGCGAACTAAACTCTCTCACACTGATGGGGAGCTTCTTGCAGATCCTACTGAGTATAGAAGTATGGTAGGTGTCTTACAGTATTTGACCATGACTAGACCTGATATTACATTTGTTGTACACTTGGTTTCTCAGTTCATGCATGCGCCTCGTACATCTCATCTTTTGGCTGTCAAGCGTATTTTCAGGTATTTGCAGGGAACTATTGGTCATGGTTTGTTACTCCAGCCGAGTACGGCCTCTCCCACTATACAGGCGTATTCAGATGCAGACTGGGCAGGGTGTCCTGATAGCAGTAGATCCACCTCAGGCTTTGCTATTTTTCTGGGGCCGAATTTAGTCTCTTGGAAGTCTAAAAAGCAGCCTACTGTTTCGCGCTCTTCCACAGAAGCTGAATATCGGGCCATTGCTTACACTGTTCAGGATACTCTACACATTCGTTCCATCTTGTTCGAGCCGGGGTATCCTATTCGCGGGCCAGTACAACTTTTGTGTGGCAATGTTTCTGCTTCTTATTTATCAATGAATCCTATTCAGCATGCTCGCAACAAACACATCAGTATTGATTATCATTTTGTTCGTGAGAGAGTGTCTCATGGAGATATGTATGTTCGCTATGTTCCTACACAGTTTCAGCTTGCAGATATATTTACTAAATGTTTATCTCCACAGCTTTTTATATTTCTTAGGGACAATCTGCGCATTGTTTCCCCTGCACAGCTTGAGGGGGTGTAATAGAGTAATTATACTTTAAAAATGGTCTTAAATGATTTTCAAATTTAATGAGTTTTTGTTATAATGATCACTTAAGTGCGTTTAATTAGAGCACTTAATAATAATAATATAATAGTCTATTTTAAAATTTACAAATGTTTTCACTTCTTTTAAAGACAATTCCTTACATATAATTAGCCGAAATTTGACATCATTGATCATAAAAGCCCAAGATGAGACATATAAATAAGATCTAATTAAGTCTTGTTTCTTCTATCTGGTCTGTTAATTTAAGGTGCATTATATAATTTGATTGAATCTGCTTAAGTCTAGTCGTGTTTAATATCGTTTGAATGGGGTAAGTCAAAATATCCATTCTCATGAACTAGCTAGCCAGCTAGGTATTGGTGGTGAATTGCACTCTAGTAGGGACGGATCCAGCATTTTGAGTCAAGGGGGTGAATTTTTTTTTGTTAGTGTAGAGGTGAATTTTTTTTGCTAGTGTAGCGGGGCGATTTTTTTTTCACAACTGTAGCGGAGCGAAATTTTTTCACCAAGGTAGAGCTCTGCGGCTTTTTTTTTTTTCTTCAAAAAATATCCATTAAAACATGCATGACGACATTAAATCACTTTAGACAATGAAAAAATAACTTTGATTTTATAATTGAAGTGCTCTAGAAAAACGTATTGATACATTAAAGCTTAAGAATTAGCAAATTAAAGAAAAATTGTTTGAAAATAAAAAAAGGATATATAAATTTTATCCAATTATTTGACTATGAAAACATTAAAAGGTGTACATCCATCAATACTTTTTAAATAACTTCTGGTATGTTTAACCATGTGAATCTTATTGGAATATAGAATTGAATTTTGAATTGTTATTTTTGAATTAGCAAATTAAAGAAAAATTGTTTGAAAATAAAAAAAGGATATATAAATTTTATCCAATTATTTGACTATGAAAACATTAAAAGGTGTACATCCATCAATACTTTTTAAATAACTTCTGGTATGTTTAACCATGTGAATCTTATTGGAATATTAATTAATAGAATTGCGAGGTTACCGTGCCTAGTGGGAGGTCTCGAGTTCGAATCCCGCTAGGCACACAAGGGTTTGAAACTCAATGGGCTGAGTTTCAGCCCTAATTACTCCAGGCTCCCCCCAGCCCCCCTCCCCCAGCCCCCCCCTGGAGTAAAAAAAAAAAAAAAAAAAAAAAAAAAAAAAAAAAAAAAAAAAACAAAGGAGGATGTTCATGAGTCACGAGAAGTTTTCTTAATATTACAATAATATGTATGAGATTATTATTTTTATAATAATATTATAGTGCAGATTCTTATATATGGTGAATATTATATTTGAAGTAATGCTAAAATAAGTTAATGTTTTGTATATGCAATAAATTGTTCTTGGAAAGTAAGAAGTAAACCGCTTGTGTAATATATTTAATGTTAAGTGTCAACAAACATTTATATTTTGGATTCACTTTACATGATCCAAAAAAAAGTTTAACTAGTGTGTCTGATATTTAATTAATATCGTTTGATAGTTTACAAAATTGAGTACTAATTATCTAATAAAGATGATTAAACATTACAAGATTAGAATTTTTTATATAATAAGTATCTTAAGTCTTAAATAATGAGTTGTTCTGTTCTTTATTTGTTTAAGTTATGTAAATTATTTTCGATTTTCTTCATTTAATATCCAATTAATATTACATTATGTAAGGGTATATATTAATTTTAAAAACTACCTTTCAAAAACAAATTAATTTTGAAAACTAAAAGTAAAGGGGGGTGAACACATATATTATGAAAATATTACATATATAATAGAAAATTTTGAAAGTCCAAGAGAGACGGTCCCCCCCCTCCCCCAAATCCATCCTTGCACTCTAGGCTAGAATATAATATGGAGTACTGTGATATACTCCTTTCGTTCCGCTAATATTGTCTCATTTTACCTTTTCAGGAAATTCCAATAAAATTTTGACATACTAAACTTGATAAAGTTTTTGTGACTTTCAATCATTTTTACTTTATTCTTAGCTTATCAATTAATATCAACCACATAAATTCACTTTCATAAATTGTGTCACCTTCTTTCGTCGCAATATTAGTGGGACGGAGGTGGTACTACTTATGTGTAAATATGTTTGTAGACATACCTAAATTTTATTATTATATATATTTATAATATAATGAAGGTAAGTGATTAGTTATCATATAATACATATGATCATTAAATGTGATAACTCAATCATTCATGTGTATATGTATTTTATACACACAAAAATACAATATTACTTCACATATTTATGCAAAAATATAGATAAAAATTCCATCGTTTATGTCTCCGACTAGTCCCCGCCTAGGCACCCGCCTAGCCGCCTAGGCGCTAGGCGATGGGCTAGCGCCCGACCAACGCCTAGCGCCTTTTAGAACATTGTATGTACTTTTAACTTTAATTACGAATATAAAGAAAGATAATTGCCAATTAAGATAAAAACAATATATGTTTGTATATATATTTAAATTTGATTATTATTTAATATTTATAACATAATGCAGTTAAGTGATGGTTATCATATACTCCGTATTGTTGCATCACTGCATGTGACAATTTTATCATTCATGCATATATGTTAATGTGTGTGTATATATATTTCATACACACAAACACGATACTACTGTTTCACTATGCACTACTTACCATATTTATGCAAATATAATGATAAAATAGAATTTATATGTCTCCGACTAATCTCTGTCTAGTCGCCCGCCTAGACGCTAGATACTGGATTGGCGCCCGATGCCTTTTAGAACATTGGTAAGGTTTGAATAAAACACTCATATAGACGTGATTCGCAGAGTTAATCTAAGGTCTTGTTTGGTGATAATATTTTTCGCCCTATCACCCAAATTTTCACCAATCGCGTACCTTTTATTTTGCACGCTAGATTAATAATAAAAAAACATAAAGTTGAAGTTATTTTTCACACTGAATTAGATGAAAATATTGTAAATGACTATTTTAGCTATTTTTCTTATAATTATTCTTTTTTTATTTTATAAAATATATTATAATTATAATTTTTCCATATTTCAGCAGATCCAGACAATTCATCCAGAACTTCATTAATTTAAGCAAATTTAACCGATTCAACCAATTTTAGTGTTACTAAACAAGCTCTAAAATTTTCAAGTTAACTTGGCGATGTGATCACCAAGTTTCGATCAACTAGATGCAATATATATTTATGCATGAGAAAATAGTCCTAAATAAAAGTAAATTAATTCCTAAATTCAGATTAGGACTATGATATATTCACAAATAGGATTATGATATTTATCTTATCAACATAGATAGAAGTAAAGTATACAGTATCTTCCTATTCTACCCTTGCTATAACTTAATAACAAAATCATTTTTTTATTTATAATAAAAACATAAAAATAATAAAAATATTTTAATTTATATTATAATTTAAATTAAATAAAAATAAATAAAAAATAAAATTCTAAAAATTAAAAAAAATGAAAAAAAAAACATAAAACACAAAAAATATACTCCCTCCGATTTCAAAAACAAGTTCCACATTTGACTTCACACATATTAAGAAAAGAAATTTGACTTTACCGTAGAGTGCATTGTTTGGACACTGTTTGACACTGTTTGAAACTGTTTTGATGTAGATAATTTGCCAAATAAGGAAAAGTTTGAAAGTGAAACTTAATTTTGGAACTGTCCGAAAAGGAAAGGTGGAACTTGTTTTTGAATCGGAGAGAGTAAAAAAAATGTACTGATCGTTAAAATGTTTAGTAATTTTAGGCATTTCACCAAAAAACAAAACTCCAATCATATTGCCCATTTTCTATCTAATTGAAAGCAATTATTTGTCAACTTTAGAATACAACTTTATACCACACACCATCCACCCAAAAATTATTTGTTTACCAATACACAATTTAGTTTTGGTAATGTAAAGTATATGATTCGTGCATATATATAATAGAAATGCTCAGGTCTAGCCGGAGGGACGAGAGCAGCCGTCCGAACTTCACTGTTTGGGACGGTTTCCGGTGGAATTTTTTGAGCATGTTCTTCATCAAGTCTAGTTTATCCATACCAAATTTCAGCTCAAAATTCGATCGGGAAGGCATTCAAAACATTTTTTGCAGTTGACTGCGTTTTTATATGTATATTTTGGCGCAGTCAACTTCAAAAAATGATTTGAATGTCTTCAAGATCTAATTTTGAGCTGAAATTTGGTATGGATAAACTAGACTTGATGAAGAACATGCTCAAAAAAATTCATCAAACAATTCCACCGGAAACCGCCCCAAACAGTGAAGTTCGGACGGCTGCTCCCGTCCCTCCGGCTGGACCTGAGCAGTCCTCTCTCTCTCTCTCTCTCTCTCTCTCTCTCTCTCTCTCTCTCTCTCTCTCTCTCTCTCTCTCTCTCTCTCTATATATATATATATATATATATATATATATATATATATATATATATATATATATATATGTATAGGGAACACTTCCGGTAAGGTATACCTTACTGGAGTCTCCATGCGGCCTCCGCGTTTTGAGGGCCTTCCCGGTGGAATTTTTCAATGAATTTTTTTGAGCATGTTCTTCATCAAGTCTAGTACATCCATACCAAATTTCAGCAAAACATTCAATCGGGAGGGCAGTCAAATGATTTTTGGAAGATAACTGCACCCTTTATATACATATAAAACGCAGTTATCTTCCAAAAATCGTTTGGCTGCCTTCCCGATTGAATTTTTTTGCTGAAATTTGGTATGGATGTACTAGACTTGATGACGAACATGCTCAAAAAAATTCATCGAAAAATTCCACCGGGAAGGCCCTCAAAAAGTGGAGGCCGCACGGCGGCTCCGGTAAGGTATACCTTACCGGAAAGATTTCCTATATATATATATATATATATATATATATATATATATATATATATATATATATATATATATATATATATAATAAAGTTTTTGAATTTATCGTAATCAAAAGTTTTTGAATATATCGTGTATATATATATCTGCATATATATAT